GGGGGGGGGGGGGGGGGGGGGGGGGGGGGGGGGGGGGGTGGTGAGGAAAGACAGCGAATAGTGTAGGGAAAAGATGGGCATTGTCAGACTCACTAATCCAACAATTGTGCTTGTTCTGGATTTAACATGCACAAATTTGCACACTAACACTTGCGGCCAATAGTGTCAAGTTGTAACGAGCTATGTTAAAATTTGGTCACAGGTCAGAAAATTTAAAAGTCCTGAAACAAACCGCATCCATTCGTCATCAAAATAAAGCTAGTACACATCAATTACCAGAATAATCTTTAGACCTTGCAAAGTGCAGCAAAATCATCGGAATTAAACAGCTCCAGAATGCCAAAAATAAAATTTCATATTTTGTTGAAGCTTCCAGTACAGGTACGGCAATGCAAACCCGACTGACAATCTTGGGATTATCAATTGGACTCGTAGTGTATGGCATGCTTCTGTGCAAATGAAAGCTACATATATTAATAGACGGGACCATGTTCATTGCAGGCAGGAAGAACATGGAACAAGTACAATGCATATACATCTCAACAAAATAGGTGACAGTCAGTCATTCACTAGCTCATTTCTCAGGGCAACACGTCTGCTTTAAAATTTAAGCAAAGCCTGGCACGTTAACTAACAATCAGCATTAATAGGTGTATTCTTCATGACAACCCTTCTATCAATTAGAATCTACTTGCCAACCAATCACCACCCTATTCTCATCCAGTATGAATATGGGGGTTTTCTCCTTGAATTGGTGTTCTTGTGAATTATCCAGATGAGTGCCAGACAAAAAGTTTCACTTATTTTTTTCAGCAAGAGACAAATTCTGTATCACTAAATTATTTGGAAACAGCTTTACTTGAAAAGGCACAGCAACATTTTGCAGATATGCATTAATCACATGGATTAATATATGAATAAGTCTTACTTAATTGTTGGTACTTCATCTATTCTATTGCCCAGTTGTGATTCATGAGATTTACTCCTGGTGAGTCCAGAGAAACCAGGAAAAAGCTGAATAAGTTTCCTAGAAGGTGGCGGTGGAGTTCGGGGTGGCTTAAATCGATGTTTCTTCTTTGAGGGAGGAGTGGCTGGTGGTGTAATTGTGATAGTTTGGGGCCCTGATGTTCGCCGACCCGGTCGAGGGGACTGCGAAAAGGGGTCTACTAAATTGTCTGAGCGATTTGGCAAGCATATAGATTCCAACGTTGGAATAACAGAAACTGATATTGAACGTGGTGGAGAGGGTATTAGTCTGGGAACAGGGGAAGGACTGTGCGGCTGTCTTGAACCAACAGGACACCACAGTTCTGAAGGAGGCACAGTACTGCTTTCTCGTCTTGTCTCCCCCGATGATGAAGTCCAAAGAACAGTGTCATCTTGTAGCTCACCGCCTATTTAAAAAGGAATACAAAATAAAGATTAAAAGTTCATTAACATAGTAACATTTTGCTTTTAAAATTCTTCAACAATTTACTGAATTTCTGGTGATAAACATTTCAAACAGAATAAAGGCTCAATGATGAACAATGAAGTAACATGACAAACAGATTAACAATTAATAAAAAATTAAATGACAGTTATCACTTGCATTCCATCCAGATTTAAAGATTATATTAATTTTACCACAATGTACATGACCTTTGACAGATTTGTCATGCTTTAGGAAAATAATAGGAAACAAAAATAGAAACAGAGACAGACAGACAGAATAAAGCAACCAAGATGCAAGGCAGTTGCCAGGAAGTGGAAGGAAATCAGCATATAGGTCATTAAGTGGTTACCAATTAATTGGCACAGACATAATGAACAGAATGACCAGTTTTAATATGTTGAACATTCCAAGATTCTGTATCTCTTTGTAGAACCCCAACAGGTCAATTACTGAAACAAAAATTACAGATATCCAAGGCAGAAGGAACAACACATAGAGGCTATGATCTTAGATAATGAAAGAGGTCAGTAAAATTAAATGCTATTATTGACAACGCCAGTAACACTTTAAAAAAAAACATTCATGGGATGTGGGCAAACCTGCTAACTCATTGTCTATTTGCAATCTTTAACTGCCCTGGCAAAAGTGGTGGTGGGCTGCATTTCTGATCCACCATAGTCCTGAGAGTGTAGGTATACCCACAATCCTGTTAGGGAAGGAATTCCAGGATTTTGACCCAGCAATATCAAAGGAATGATGATATAGTCCCAAGTCAGGACAGTGTGTGGCTTAGATAGGAATTTGCAAATTAAAGGTGCTTCCGTAGATTTTCTGCTATGTCATTCCAGGTGGACATGGTCGCAGATTCGGAAGTGCTTTCAGAGAAATTTGCAATGCATCTTATAGATGGTACAGACAGCTGACACTGTGCTTCAGTGGTGAAAGGAGTTAATGTGGAAAGGGGGCAGACATGGTGTCAATCAAGCAGATTGTTTGTCATGGATGACGTTGAGCTCCAAGTGTTGTTGGAAGTGAACCCATCCAGGCAAGTAGAGTGGTTTCCATCACAATCCTGACTTGTGCCTTGTAGATAGTGAGCAGGCTTTGGGAAGTCAGGAGGCAAGTTATTCACCACAGAGTCCCTAACCTTTGATCACTTTTTGTAACCACAGTGTTTATATGTCTGGTCCAGTTCGATTCCTGGTCAACAGTACCAAAGATATTAATAGTGAGACTTTGGTGATGGTGTTGCCATTGAACATCAAAGGAAGATGTCCTATTGGAGATGGTCATTCCCTGGCATTTGCATGACACACATGTTTCTGGTCACTTATCAGCCCAACCCATTGTCCAGGTCTTGCTGCATATTCATATGAGTGGCTTCAGTGCCCAAGTTGTAACAAATGTTGCTGAACATTATGTTCACAAATTGCATAATCAGCAACAAAATCAAATGGAAGACGATGCAGATCTACTCAAGCTGATAAAAACCAGATACAGATTCCTCGTTGGAGTAAAAATCTATGAAGATGGAATATTTTGAGTAATTCAGTCTGAATACAGTACTCAAATAGGGCACAACAATTTTAGTTGCTCAATTGCAAGTTACTGAGTTGGACTCAAAACGGTGTATCAAATAACTCAACCGATGCTGGTTCGTCAAAAAAATTCTTACTTTTTGTGAAGTAGCCAACTCTGCAAAATATTTTACACAAAATATGTGGAATCTCCCATCCTTTCCCTTGCAGTGCCAATTTTCCATCAAAGTAGAGCAAACATACAGAAGTAGAGGCCTTCCAAAAACTTGCCATCTAGTCCACCAGTATGCAATTAAATCAAATAGGAAATGTCAGCACTAGTGTTTCAGGAATCACGGCCAAGTCCAACAATCATAGACCAGAATTTGCCAGTGGCAGCAAGCCAAAAGCAAGCTGGACCAGGACCTTGTGACAAATTTGTTATTGCAAAAATTGGTCCATTGCATAACTGCTAGCTAAACCTGCAGCTTTTAAAGATATTCTGGACCTCTCTAGCTGGACCAGCATTAAGTGCCCATCCTAGTTGCCTTGAGAAGGTTATAATGAGCTGCCTTCATAAGCCACTGCAGTCCATTCAGTGTAGGGAAACAATGCTTTCTGGAAGGTATCTTGATTCAGAGCCACTGAAGAAATGGTGATACCATTTCAAGTCAGGATGGTGAGCAGCTTGAAGGGGAACATGCAAGTGGTATGTTCCAATGTATTCACTGCCCTTACCCTTCTAAGACAGTAGTGATTAAAAGTTTGGAAGGTGCTAAGGAAGCTTGGTGAATTTCTGCAGTGCATCTTATACATGATACATGATACACAATGCTCCTACTATGTGTTTGTGGAGGGGGTGAATGCTTCTGCTGCCAATCAAACAGGCTGAGGAACATCATGGTTTGAATGTTGTTGGAGCTGCACTCATCCAAACAACTGGAGGGCATGCCTTCACACTCCTGACTTGCTCCAAAGGGTTATTTTACCCCTCCAAAAGGGGAAATTTTTTTAAAAAAACAAGTTCTTTCCTCCCAGCCTTCACCTCCATACTTTAAATCATTTCAACTCATGCAACCTAATGCCCTCGCCCCAACCCTATGGGCCTTTATAGGATAGAATAGTAATTTATTGTCGCTTGTATTTTTACAAAAAAGTACAGTGAAAAAAGTGTTTAAATTGTTATGTTCCAGCACCTATATTAATAACAGAAATTATATTAAAAAATTAAGACAAAGTACTCCCACTTGCCACCTTTTCCTCCTCACCTACAATGTCAATTCACTGAGCACTGACATGTTCTTATGTACAGTGTTTTATAAAAAAAATCACTATTTCTTGAATTTTTATATGACAAACTATACTCTATTGAGAAAAATCACTCATTCATAAAAGCACATTTTGGAATATAACAATACTTGACAGGTCTTGTCAAGTTGGTTCCACAAAACCGACATTTTAAAATCCATTTGCAGTGGTGGAAACTGGACATTTAAGTAGACAACTGCCTCCAAAAACCATGCGCACGCCAACTATGGCTGGCCCACCCACCATGGAAATGAGAAATGCCGAGTTTGGAATTCCCAACCTATTCGAAGTGTTGCACCAGAGCTGAGATACTCTCAGTCATAGTAAAAATCACGACCGTGACTTGTAGCACCTTTAGTTTTCTGGCATAAAATACCAACATGAGTATTTACCAGGGAAAATTACCAAGCTACTTGCAACAGTATCAGAAGTCACTGCAACAATAAAATATATTCTTTAATTTTAAATAAAATACATTCAGAACCTTAAAAAAATTAATTTGGAATCTTAAAATAAGGAGAACCTCGGAACATGCGTTACTCATTTTTATGTAACCCATCCGTAAACAAATGGTATTCAGTAACCTCCCAAAGTTTAAGGTATTATGAAAAGCTCTCAGACTACACCAATTACATCATTGTAAGAACTGGACAGGAACAATTACCTGAATCATTTATGTTTCTTAAGCAGGAGAGGGCAGCATTTAGCCGACAGCATTCCTCACGGTTGGCTCCATACCTCTTCATGGCTTCACAGACCTTCGTATCGGACATGTTCAACAAAATGTCCAGCGTTAAATCACCTGGGACTTCCTGAAGACAACAATGCAAACATTAAAAACGGAACTCAATATTTCAATTTATATTACAGTAGCATTTAATGGGAATCATCTGCATTTATGCTGTCTCTCTCATGTTAAATAGTTCAGATGTGACACAGCATTGGAATATTTATACATTAAATCATTGACCAATAAACAGCAATAATTATCTCAGATATTTAGATCAGTTTTACCCATGTAGGAAATAGTCAAAACAGCCAAATCAAACTGTGATCAATAAAGTAATAAAGAGCTCTGAAACCATCTACCGCATTGATAAATGCGCCAAGGCTGAAAAATGCAGTAATTCATTTGAATCATATGGCTTATTACAGATGTTTAAAGGAGGGGATTGCAGGAAGTAGATTTCCATGTCAAACTGCAACATGAAACCTAACATTTCAGTGCCAGTAGTAGTACTGCTAAACACCAGATGAAGTGAAAATCTAGAAGTGACAGCAGTCTAGAGAAAGAAAACCGTTCAGTGACCTCACCCTACGTGATCCACCAGCTAACAGGCATTTTGCAGCCCACTGTTTTTAAGGCTTTTCCTTGTGCAAAGATTCTGGGAGCTATAATACAGTTACAATGATGATGAACCCTTATAAAGGCATGTAAAGATTGCTTGCAAGTAGTTGAATCTAATGTTCCCACATACCAAACATTTCAATGTCCATGCATAGGTTTTACATAAATTCTGCAGGTTTTCCCGGTTTCTCAGGACTGGTGTGCCCTGCCTTGTGCGTGTGATTAAGACAAAGTAGAATCTCAGGATCATCTCCTCGTATCTGCCGAGTCAACGGACGCTAAACTACTGCTCCCCAAGGATTGATTAAAGTGAAAGTACCCATTCTCCCCACCTCTGGGTGTTTAAATTGATGATCCACAGACAGCAACTTTAATTATGATGCTGCTTGGCCTGCTGTGTTCATCCAGCCCTGCACCTTGTTGTCTCGGATTCTCCAGCATCTGCAGTTCCTACTATCTCTGATTCAACTTTAATTATGAACATAGTCTGCTGACATTGGACTGTTCCTTCAAAATTTTCCTTCGCTGTGTAAGGCCCATTCCTTGATTTGTGTATGCACACTGTGATGATTCCGTTTTTAAATAAAGCATTCTTCATCTACAGACCAGTATTCGGTGAGAACAGAACATAGGAAGCACTCAATTCCACAAGTACTGTTACAAATAGCTGTTCCAAAATATTATTGTTGTGCTATTCTGCCGAGAAACTGAGACACATTTAGTGGGGCTGGGCTTGTTACAAGATTTTCAATATGTTACTCAGGGTAGTTCCAGGGTCTCTGAATATGGATTCAAAAGGAGATAGGGCATGAGACAAATGAGAAAGACAGAGCGCGAGAGAGCGCCAGAGAAAGAAGGACAAAAGCATAACCCCTTGGGAGCTGTGGGGATTCGGAAGAAGCCAAATCGACCTTTAAACTTTCAGTCCAGCTAAGAGCAGGAGATTGAAAAGCACACAAGTAGTATTTTGCTTGAGGCAACACAGCAAAATCAAGGAAAGGCCCAGAGGTAACAAGGTGTAGAGCTGGATGAACACAGCAGGCCAAGCAGCACCAAAGGGGCAGGAAGGCTGATGTTTCAGGTCTAGACCATTCTTCAGAAAATTTTCTGCTTGGCCTGCTGTGTTCATCCAGCTCTACACCTTGTTATCTCAGAGTCTCCAGCATCTGCAGTTCCTACTATCTCTGAAACAATTTTAAGGCCCAGAGGTAGTTCTGGCTCAGTGAAGTTAACCTTCAGTGAAAGACTGGAGTTGTGCTTGTAAAATGTGTACCGAACTGCTGTTTCCAGAGTTCAGTGTTCGGGACAGCATAGACCCAGGAAAGGATAGGAGCAATCATTGTGGCAGTTCATGATAGAGCAGCACATGAGAAAGTTTTAAGGCCCGATCAGCGAAAGTGAAGAATGAAAATCCTTAATGAAGTATTGAGATTTGATGATCTGTCATTACTGTCTGTGAGAATTGTTGAGAAATATAGGATGTCTCTTGAACATGTCTGTTATTAGATGTGCACGTTCCAATGAGTCTGTTACCCACATTTACCATATGTTAATTCTGGACATTATACTATAAGGTTTTAGATATACTGTCAATTATGTCTGTGTTCTAGTGATGTGTTGTAAAGTTTATTGTTTGTTCAAATCAATGCAATCTTGTAGTTTTATTTTGTTAAAAGTCCCCTAGATCTGACACATGTACTTTTGTTTTTAAAAATGGTCCCTGGTGCCTAGGTAGATCATAACTTAAATTTTGTGGTCTGGTTCATGATTGTAACAAAATACACAGGCCACTTTGTACATCGCAATGTGTGGAAATTGGCCACATTGTATTCGTTAACTTCTACAAAGCACAAGTCAATTCCATGGGTAACAAAAGTACTATTCCTCTTCCAGCAATAAAACCCAAAATCTATATGGGAATAACATTTCCAATGTGGCCTCATAACTGCTGAAAATTACTAAAGTTTTTGTCATCTGTTCATACCACAAGCAGTGAGATTACGGAATTAGCATTGCTCTCCACTAGTTGCTCTGCAAATCTGTGGAATTTAAATGCTTTTCAACAAAATGTTGAATTCTCTCAGTACTAAAACAAATGCAGAAACTGCTGGAAAAAGTCTGTATGTCTCACAACATCTGAGAAAGCAGAATTAACATTTCGGGTCCAGTTACCTTCTTCAGAACCGAAGATGGTTTTCACGCAGTGCTGTGTAGCCTTTGTTGAAGTGCTGTTTCTCTGTCCTGCTCTGAATTTATATGGTCCGGTCTGTCACATTTCCAGTTTTGTACCATATGGCATGTAGATGGGGTCTATTTCAACAGGTTTGTTAATTGCATCGGTGGTTGAAA